CCAAAATTTTCCCCAGTCTGCAGGTTCTGTTTTTACTCTTTTGGTGAAGGCTTTTGATGAGCGTAAGTGTTTAATTTTTAGACGATTCCAGTTATCTAGCTTTTGTTCTGGCGTTTGTGTATTGTTAGTTATGGTTTGTATCCTATTTATGCCATATATTAGGACCCCTGGTGGCACAGTGGTTAAGCCTTCAGCTGCTAACCAAAAGATCAGTAGTTCAAATCCCCCAGCTGCTCCTTGGAAACCCTGTGGGGCAGTTCTACACTGTCCTATAGGGTTGTTATGAGTCAGAATCGACTCAATGGCAACGGGTTTAGTTTTTTTTATTAGGGCCCCTAGCGTTGACCCTATTTTGTCTTCCATGATCTTTATAGTTTTTGGTTTTATATTTAGGTCTTTGATACATTTTGAATTAGTTTTTGTGTATGGTGTGAGGTGTGGATCCTGTTTCATTTTTTTTCAGATGGACATCCAGTTTTGCTAGCACCATTTGTTAAAAAGTCCATTTGTTAATGAACTCTGGGCCTTTGTTGAAGATCAGGTGACCGTAGGTGGATTGATTTACATCTCAGTTCTCGATTCTGTTCCATTGGTTAATGTGTCTGTCATTGTACCAGTACCAGGCTGTTTTGATTACCGTAGCTGTATAGTAAATTCTGAGGTCAGATAGTGCGAGGCCTCCTACTTTGTTCTTCACTAATGCTTTACTTATCCGGGTTCTCTGTCCTTTCCACATAAACTTAATGATTAGTTTTTCCATCTCTTTAAAGAATGCTGTTGGTATTCACATAGGGATTGCATTGTATCTGTAGATCACTTTGAGTAGAATTGACATTTCCACAATGCTGAGTCTACCTATCCATGAGCATGGCATGTTTTTCCATTTATGTAGGTCTCTTTTGGTTTCTTCCAGTAGTGTTTTGTGGTTTTCTTAGTAAAGGTCTTTTACATCCCTGGTTAGATTTATTCCTAAGTATTTTAATTTTTTAGGGGCTATTATAAATGGTATTGCTTTCCTGATTTCCTCTTCATAGTTCTCTTCACTGGTGTGTAGGAATCCAACTGATTTTTTGTGCCGATCTTGTATGCTGCTACTCTGCTGAATTTTTCTGTTAGTTCTGGTAGTTTTCTTGTTGAGTTTTTAGGGTTCTCTATGTATAGTATCATAATACACACTGAAGGCTGTAGTCTTCGATCATCATCAGTAAGTGCTTCAAGTCCTTTTCACTTTTGGCAAGCAAGGTTGTATCATCTGCATTTATCACAGGTTGTTAATGAGCCTTCTTCCAGTCCTGATGCTGCATTTTTCTTCATATTAGTCCATTTTCTTGGGTTATTTTCTCAGCACATAGATTGAATAAGTATGGTGAAAGGATATAACCCTAATGCACACCTTTCCTGGCTTAGACCATGCAGTATCCCCTTGTTCTGTTCAAACGAATGCCTCTTGATCTATGTACAGGTTGCTCATGAGCACAATTAAGTGTTCCGGAATTCCCATTCTTCACAATGTTATCCATAATTTGTTATGATCCATATAGTCAAATGCCTTTGCATGATTGATAAAACACAGGTAAATATCTTTCTGGCATTCTCTGCTTTCAGCCAAGATCCACCTGACGTTAGCAATGATATCGTTCTTTCCGTATCCTCTTCTGAATCTGGCCTGAACTTCTGACAGTTTCTTGTCAATGTACTGCTACAACCATTTTTTAATTATCTTCAGCAACATTTTATTTGTGTGTGATATTAATGATATTATAAGATAATTTCCACATTCTGTTGGATTACCTTTCTTTGGAATGGGAACAAATACAGATCTCTTCCAGTCAGTTGGCCAAGAAGCTGTCCTCCAAATTTCTTGACATAGATGAATGAGTGCTTCCAGCATTGCATCCGTTTGTTGAACATCTCATTTGGTATTTCGTCAATTCCTGGAGCCTTCTTTTTCACCATTCCCTTCAACTCAGCTTGGATTTCTTCCTTCAACACCATTGGTTCTTGATCATACGTTACCTCCTGAAATAGCTGAACATCAACTGGTTGTTTTGGGTACAGTATCTCTGCGTATTCCTTCCATCTTCTTTTGATGCTTCCTGTGTCATTCAATATTTTCCCCAAGAATCCTTCAATATTGCAACTCGAGGTTTGAATTTTTTCTTCAGTTCTTTCAGCTGGAGAAATGCCGAGCGTGTTTTTCCCTTTTGGTATTCTAACTCCAGGTCTTTGCACATTTCATTATACAGTCTGCTTTTTAAAGTTGAAATAAATTAAAATGCTTAGACAAAGGCGTAAAACTGCAATTGAAATTCTCCAAGAATACCCTAATATCTTAATTGTGTTTATAAGCAATAAAGGTGAATATTAAAGCTAATTAAAGATTTTTTATGAATAAAATTTTGGGAAACAGAAATATACATTAATTTCCTAAAAAATTTAACATGAAGTTATAATATCTAAATATTCCTTGTGGAGTTGCAATTATTTGCAGATCTCTTCAGTTTCCACTGAGTTACTACATACACCGTTTGTTATGGATTAAATTGTGTCCCCCACAAAGAAATGTGGAAGTCCTACCTCTGTACCTATAAGTATGAGCCTTGGTGGTACAGTGATTAAGCATTCATCTGTTAACTGAAAGGTCAGCAGTTCAAACCCACCAGCAGCTCTGCAGGAGAAAAGACCTGGTGATCTTATTCTCCCATCAAAATTACCACCTAGGAAACTCTATGGGGCAGTTCTACTCTGTCCTATAGGGTCTCTATGAGTCAGAATCGATGGCACCCAACAACAGCAGTATTTGGAAATAAGAGGTTTTCTTTTGTTGTGGTAGTCAGAGGTCTTAAACTTTCTGAGTGGTGTCTTATAAAAAGAGCAGAAGAGTGGTGTCTTATAAAAAGACACAGAGGGAAGACAGATGCCATGTGTGGGCCTGTCTACAAGTAAAGGAATATCAAGGATCACCAGCAGACACCAGAAACTAGGAGAGAGATTCAGAGAAGAAATCCACACGGCCAAGACCCTGATTTGGAGTTTTAGCCTCCGGAATTGCAAGAAAATAAAATTATGTTCTTTAAAGCTACTCATTTGTGAGAATTCTATTATGGGAACATTAGCAAACTCAGACGGTTTTACCATTTTTATTTCTCCGACTAAGTGCACCCTGCTTCTCCCTGTGAAAAGAACAAACACACACAGCAAACTGACAAATGTTCCATAATCATTTGAATCATACATGCATATGATTTGGGACATGTGTGGCCTTTGACAGAACTTAGTTTCTTTGAATCTCAAAACTTTAGGTCAGCTAGTCCTGTCGTTCATAACCGTCCAGGGATTGTGGATGCCTTCTGAAAATCTGATAAAAACCTTGGACCCTTCCCCAGGAATAGGCACATACTCACATGAAGCAAGTTTGCACACAATTTTGGGGGAGCACCTAGACTCCGAAAGTCCCACAGGTTCCCAGCTTAGTCCAGTAAATGAAGAAACACAGAAGCCCAGAAAGGTTAAGGTTACTCAAGATGTCAGTTACTTACACTACCTGGATTCGAACTCAGATCTCCTGACTCTGTGGCTATTCCAGGAGAGAAGAGTCTAGGGCCACATTTTCTGGGTTCAAATCCTGATTCTGCTGCCTGTTGGTTGCATGACTTGTTACATAGCCCCTCCCTGCCTCAGTTTCTTCATCTGAACATGGGGATTATGATAATAGAACCCTCCTCCCAGTGCCTTTCACCTTGTTGCTGCTGTTAATTGCTGTCAAATTGACCTTGACTCATGGCAACCTTATGTATAACAGAACAAAACGTTGCAGAGTCCTGCATCATCCTCATGATTGCCAGCTATTGCAGTGTTCCAGCTCACTGAAGGTCTCCCTCACCCTCACTGGCCCTCTACTTCACCAAAGACAATGTCCTCCTCCACCAATTGGTCTTTCCCAGTGACATGTCCAAAGCGAGCAAGTTGAGTAGTGTTCTTTTGTGATCCTTAAGGTTTTCATTGACTAATTTTTGGGAGTGGATCACCAAGCCTTTCTTCTTAGTCTTTTTTAGTCTGGAAGCTCTATGGAAACCTGTCTACCATGTGTGACCCTGAAGGTATTTGAAATACCACTGGCATAGCTTCCAGCATCATAGCAACATGCAAGCCAACACAATACAACAAGCTGACCGACGGGTAGTGGGCCTGGCATCTAGTTAACTTTATATTGGTGTTTGCTATAATGACTTTACAAATGAAGCAGAAGCTCAGGCAGAGAGGCAGTTGCCTTAGGTCACCAAGCTGCTAAGTGGTAGAGCTAGGATGTGACTCCAAAGCCTGTAGTCATGGCATATCGTATCCTGCATCCCCATTTCCTCCACCAACCCAGTTTTCAAAATTGTCACTAACTGTGTGTGACCAGAGCAGGCTTGCAGGAAGAGAGACAGGAGGTGCTTTGAGGGAGCAGCGCTCAGGTTCAACCTGGCCAGCCTCCTCTTTCCTGCAGAGGAAAGACCAGAGAGCAGCACAGGAGAGAAGGGAAGGGGTGGAGGCCGGTGCTTTGTGGAAGGGAAGGAGAGACACACGTGGAGTGAAGCCCCTGGAGTGAAGGGAGGGACTGCTGCCAGGAGGGGGCTTGCCTCTGACTCCCACTCTTAGGGTCATGGAAACAGCCCTTGACAGCAGCACAGGGTGACAGCGGCACAGGGGGACGGGGCACAGGGAGACAGGGGCACAGGGGAACAGCAGCACAAGGGGACAGGGGCACAGGGGGACAGGGGCACAGGCCGAGAGAGACAGCAGGGGCTTGCTGGGCTGGTCGTGCCGGAAAGGAGCCCCTTTCCCCCCGGCCCCCCGCCAGGGGGGCTGTCCAGCCACAGAAACCTTGATGCAGCCCTGAGCTGAGCATTTGGACAAACCCCTCCTTTCCTGGAGCTGTGGGCTGGGTTCTGGGACACTTTCAGTTTTGTTTTCTTGTCTGCAAACAAAACGAAACTAATCAGAAACACCCTGAGACCAGACCATGGAGGGAGACGTCAAGGTGTGTGAATACTGGTAAGCTGATGCTTTCTCTAGCCCCCCTGCCCCGCTGGCCTTCCGCGACAGCCTAGAGAGAGGGGCAGACCTGATAAGTCTGTTTCTGAAGGGAGAAAAGAGTCCACGCACAAAAATGCCCCGAGGGCAAAGGTGGGTGGTATGAGCCTCAGGGCAGGGGTGAGATGTGAGGTGTGGTCAGCATTATGAACTTCACTGCACCCCCTCCAAGATATTTTAGATTTTCTGGGACAGTCCTGAAGGCAAATACCCAGGCTTAACTGTGCCCACTGGACTATTTATACTGGTCAGACACTGAGTTCGAATTTGGAGTTCTGATAATATGATCGGCACACCAATCTTTGAAAGAAATGTGCCAACGAGATTCCCCAGGGCCATTCCCACCCTACTTTGAGAGGGAACTGTGGGAGGGGCGCAGAGCAGGGTTCCAGGACCACACTTCTGAGGGGGGCCTGGCTGTTTGCTCTTGAAACCTCCCACCTGTGGCAGGAACCAGGGTGGGCCCTTCCCATAGGGCTTTACTCTCTTTCCTGCCTTACAATCTTAATCAGAGCCTGGATGTGAAAGATGATTTCATGCTGTACACCATGGACTAAGCCTGCTTTTCTTTCCCGCTTGATCCTGCAGCAAAAGAAGCGTGGCCTGTGCCCACTTCGCCCTCCATGAGGCCCACTGCCTGCGGTTCCTGGTCATCTGCCCAGAGTGTGGGGAGCCCATCCCAGAAAGTAAGATGGAAGAGCACTTCGAGAACAGCCACAAGGAGGTGAGGGGCTGGGACAAGGGACGGAGTCTGGGAGCATTGGGCAGGGAGCTGGGCAAGAGCCCATTCTGACTGTAGCCATTCACTCGGCTGGCTGCGGAGGCAAGTCAGGTAGCCCTTGCCCGTCTCAGGCCCCACCTGAGAAATGGAAGCAGTTATCCCGCCTTTCTCATACCAAACCCAGTCTGTCCCCAGTGCTTTTTTTGTTTGTTAGTTTTTATGGTGGTAAGAATATACATACCCAAACATTCGCAAACACAACCCTACATTTACAATTCAATGACATTGATGACATTTTTCATGATGTGCCATTATCGCTATCCTTTTCCAAAATATTCCACCACCAACATAAACTCAACGCCCCACCAACCAAAACGCCGCTTTCCCCCTGGTAACCATTAATAATCTTTGGTTTCTATATAGTTGCTTCTTTCATGTAAGTGACATTGTATAGTATTTGCCCTTTTGCAACTGAGTTATTTCGCTCAGTGTAATGTTTCCAAGGTTCATTCATGTTGTGGCATGCATCAGGACTTCATTTCTCTTTAAGGCTGCCTAATAGTCCGTTGTGGGTATATAACGCATTTTGTTTACCCATTCATCTGTTGAAGGACATTCTGGCTGTTTCCGCATTTTGGCTATTGTGAAAAGTCCTGCAGTGAAGATTGGTGTATAGGATTCTGTTTGCATTCCTGCCTTCAATCTCCACCGCTGGTCAGTTTGTCGTACTGTGGTGGCTTGCATGTTGCTGTGATACTGGAAGCTCTGCCACCGGTATTTCAAATACCAGCTGGGTCACCCACGATGAATGGGTTTCTGACGAGCTTTCAGACTAAGACAGACTAGGAAGAAGGACCTAGTTATTTACTTCTTAAAAAATTGGCCAGTGAAAACCTCCTGAATAGCAGCGGAACATAGTGCCGGAAGATGAACCTCTCAGATTGGAAGACACTCAAAATATGACTGGGGAAGAACTGCCTCCTCAAAGTAGAGTTGATCTTAATGATGTGGATGGAGTAGTAAAGTTTTCGGGACCTTCATTTACTGATATGGCACGACTCAAAATGAGAAGAAATGGCTGCAAATATCCATTAATAATCGGAGTGTGGAATGAACAAAGTATGAATCTAGGAAAATTGGAGGTTGTCAAAAATGAAACGGAGTGCATAAAGATAGGTATCTTTATGGCATATCTTTAGGCATTAAACAAACAGAAAAAAAAAACAAACCCATTGCCGTCGAGTCAATTCCGACTCATAGTAACCCTATAGGACAGAGTAGAACTGCCCCATATGGTTTCCAAGGAGCACCTGGTGGATTTGAACTGTCGACCTTTTGGTTAGCAGCCGTAGCTCTTAACCACTATGCCACCAGGGTTGAGTGAGCTGAAGTTGACTGGTATTGGCCATTTTTAATCAGACAATCATATGATCTAGTATGCCAGGAATGGCAAATTGAAAAGGAATGACGTCGCATTCATTGTCAAAAAGAACATTTCAAGATTTATCCTGAAGTACAATGCTGTCAGTGATGGGACAATATCCATACACTTACAAGGAAAACCAACGGATAAGACTATTATTCAAATTTACCCACCAACCATTAATGCAAAAGATGAAGAAATTAAAGATTTTTACCAACTTCTGCAGTCTGAAATTGATCAAACATGCAATCAAGATGCACTGATAGATAATTATTAGTGATTGGAATACAAAAAATGGAAAAAAGAAGAGGGATTGGTAGTTGGAAAATATGGCCTTGGTGATAGAAACGGTGCCGGAGATCACAGATAGAATTTTGCAAGACCAATGACTTATTTATTGCAAATACATTTTTTCAACAATGTATATAGCAACTATACACATGGACCTCCCCAGATGGAATACACAAGAATCAAATCGACTACCCCTGTGGAAAGAGACAATGGAGAAGCTCAATATTATCAGTCAGAACAGGAGCCGTCTGCAGAACAGATCAATTGCTAATACGCAAGTTCAAGTTGAAGCTGAAGAAAATTAAAACAAGTCCACGAGAGCCAAAGTATGACCTTGAGTATATCCTACCTGAATTTAGAGACCATCTCAAGAATAAGTTTGACGCATTGGATACTAATGACAGAGGACCAGACGAGTTGTGGGATGACTTCAAGGACATCATACATAAAGAAAGGAAAAGGTTATTAAAAAGAAAGAAAAGACCAAAATGGATGTCAGAAGAGACTCTCAAAGTTGCTCTTGAATGTAGAGTAGCTAAAGCCAATTGAAGAAATGATGATGTAAAAGAGGTGAACAGAAGATTTCAGAGGGCGGTTTCAGGAGACAAAGTAAAGTTTTATAAGGAAATGTGCAAACCCCTAGAGTGAGAAAACCAAAAGGGAAGAACACCCTCAACATTTCTCAAGCTGAAAGAACTGAAGAAAAAAATTAAGACTCAGGTTGCAATTTTGAAGGATTCTATGGGCAAAATACTGAATGACACAGGAAGTATCAAAAGAAGATGGAAGGAATACACAGAAACACTGTAACAAAAAGAATTGGTTGATGTTCAGCCATTTCAGGAGTTGGCATATGATCAAGAACCAATGGTATTGAAGGAAGAAGTCTAAGCTTCACTGAAGGCACTGGTGAAAAACAAGGCTCCAGGAATTGATGGAATACCAATTGAGATGTTTCAATAAACGGATGTAGTGCTGGAAGTGCTCACTCGTCTATCCCAAGAAACTTGGAAGACAGCTTCCTGGCCAACAACTGGAAGAAATCCATATTTGTGCCCATTCCAAAGAAAGGTGATCCAACAGAATGCAGAAATTATCAAACAATATCATTAATATAATACACAAGTAAAATTTTGCTGAAGATCATTCAAAAACAGTTGTGGCAGCAAGTACATCCACAGGGAACTGCCAGAAATTTAAGCCAGATTTAGGAGAGGACATGGAACGAGGGATATCATTGCTGATGTCAGATGGATCTTGGCTGAAAGCACAGAATACCAGAAAGATGTTTACTTGTGTTTTATTGACTATGCAAAGGCATTCAACTGTGTAGATCATAACAAATTATGGATAACATTGTGAAGAATGGGAATTCCAGAACACTTAATTGTGCTCATTTGGAACCTGTACATAGACCAAGAGGCCGTCCTTCGAAGAGAACAACAGGATACTGCGTGGTTTAAAATCAGGAAATGTGTGCATCAGAGTTATATCCTTTCACCATACTTATTCAATCTGTACGCTGAGCAAATAACTTGAAAAGCTGGACTATACGAAGAAGACCTCGGCATCAGGATTGGAGGAAGACTCATTAACAACCTGCTATATGCAAATGACATAACCTTGATTGCTGAAATTGAATAGGATTTGAAGCACTTACTGATGATGATCAAAGACTACAGCCTTCAGCATGGATTACACCTCAACATAAAGAAAACAAAAATTCTCACAACTGAACCAATAAGCAACATCATGATAAACAGAGAAAATATTGAAGTTGTCAAGGATTTCCTTTTACTTGGATCCACAGTCAACACCACAGAAGCAGCACTTAAGAAATCAAACGACGTTTTGCATTGGGCAGATCTGCTGCAAAAGACCTGTTTCAAGTGTTAAAAAGCAAAGACGTCACTTTGAGGACTAAGGTGTGCCTGACCCAAGCCATGGTATTTTCAATTGGCTCATATGCATGCAAAAGCTGGACAATGAATAAGGAAGACCAAAGAAGAATTGATGCCTCTGAATTATGGTGTTGGTGAAGAATATTGACTATACTTTGGACTGCCAGAAGAACGTACAAATCTGTCTTGGAAGAAGTACATCCAGGATGCTCCTTGGAAGGAAGGATGGTGAAACTTTGTCTCACGTACTTTGGACTTGTTATCAGGAGGGAACTTGGAGAAGAACATCGGGCTTGGTAAAGTAGAGGGTCAGCAAAAAAAGAGGAAGACCCTCAATTAGATGAATAGACACAGTGGCTACAATGATGGGCTCAAACATAGCAATGATTGTGAGGATGGTGCAGGATGGGGCAGTGTTTCATTCTGTTGTACGTAGGGTCACTATGAGTTGGAATTGACTCGACAGTACCTAATAATAACAATGGTAAATCTGTGTTTAACTTCTTGAGGATAACCCCAGTTTTCCCCCATTTTCAATCCTTTCCCTACAGACTTATGGGTTTGGCCAAGGCAAGCGGGTGCCGTTTTAGGAAAGGTTGAATGTTCCGTTGAGATTTGTGAAGAAGGGAAGCAGGAAAGGAGGGCCCTAGGAGGCAGTCAGGCCTAGCTGACTTTTCTTGACTGCTGATTCATCAATCTGTCCCAGGACCCCTGTCTGTCTTTCTGGAGATTCTCAAACTCAGGCATCCGTGTCAACTCAACTAGTCCTGCAAACATCCTTGAACCCGGGCTGGGTGCTGCAGGGAGACTGAAATAGCCACACCTGAGCCCTGCCCTCTAAGAGCTTACAGACCTAGACCTAAAACACCATGGGCCCAGGCAGATGTGGGGAAAGGCCATAGGTGCTGGGTGGAACCTATGTTTCTCTCTGTTTTTAGGTTGAGCGTGCTAAGTGTCGGCAGAACATGCAGAAGCATTTGCTGGAGGTTCATGAGGTAAGGTTCACATGTCTCCTTTACTGCCATGCGGGTACAACCTGGAAGGAGGAGAGGGAGAGGGGAGGAAAGGCCAATATAATTTTTCCCCCGACCTCTTTCTTCTTGCCCAAGTTGGCTCCGAGAGCAATGGAGAGCTAGCCCACCACAGGGACACAGGTCCTCCTGACCCTAGAAGCTGGCGGAAGGGCTTGCCATGGTCTATGAGCCCAACAGAGCTTGTACTGCCTGAGGACAGTCCCCCACTCTGGACCTTCCCATCTGCTTTCTCTCATTAGCTTCAATTCCCTAGGGAGACAGGCTCATGTTCCTGACCTGCCTCCAATCAAAGGGGCCAGTGATCATGCCCTAACTGCCTGTCTCCCCACAGACCAAGGAATGCCAGATGCGCCAGGTCAAGTGTAAGTTCTGTGAGCTGGCCATGGACTTCAGCAAGCAGGAGATCCACGAGTACCACTGTGGTAGCAGGACAGAGCTCTGTCCAGACTGCAACCAGTACATCCTGCTCCGTGAGCTGGCCAGCCACAAAGATGCCTGTCAGGGGGAACAGGCCCAGCCCAGCAAAGGTGAGGAGCATGGGCTGGAGAGACAAAGGGAACCTGCAGGGACCAAAGTCTCCTATGGGTGAGATGCAGGGAACGTAAGGTCTCAACAGGCTGGACGACAAGGGTATTTGTTGTGTATATCTCAAATTCAAGCAGCAGACGTGTTGGCTATTTCAGCTCTAGACCATGCGCTAGAGCGGCCTTGTTGTGTGTCTGCTGTGGTCTTCAAATGACCAGTCCAAGTGACCAAGAGGCCAGAAGGTGGGTGCCTAGGAGCCACACAGATGAGTGCAGAGGCAAAGTGAGCCTAGAAAATGTGAGGCCTCCTTTGAAGCAAATTCCAACTTGGCAGAAACCTTTCTGCCCACCTACATCCTTTTTCAGATGAGAAACTTACACACAGAATGATCCAGGGGCCTAGTAGAGGCAGAATTAAGGCTGGACACCTATTTCCCAACACCAGTCTGGAGCTTTTTTCACCATCAGCAATGGACAGAAGGGAGCCAGCTGCAGCCTGACCTTTGAGTTTATGTGTTGGCTCCCTGGAACCGTTTCATGTTCTCTTGACCCAATTACCCCTTTATGAGGGTGTGTTTACCAAGGTCATAAGCCACCAACGTGATGATTTTCTGTTTACTTCACTGGTTGTTTCGGTAACATGTGGAGAAGGCCTAAAACTCCTTGGACAATAGATCTCTTCTGGTAAACAATCTACCCAAGGTCAAAATTGGCAAATGAAAAACTGGAAAGTATGGGATTCATGTACATTTCCGTCATCTCAACATGGTTGGGCTTCATGGGTGTGTAATCAATAAAGATGTGTACACTCAACACCTGGTTTGATCACAGAGCTTGGAAATTGGTGGAATAAAAGAGCAATCAAATTAGACAGGATTGGCATCTGTGGTTAAGGATCCCTTCATATCCTTACAAACCCATCCTGCTCCAGGAAAATGTCTCCTCCTCAGGGCTGAGTGCTGCCCTGAGTGCACATCTGTAGCCATAAAGAAAATGATATGAGTGATTCAGACAAGGGTTGCCTGTGTGGCTGAGGATCTGGGAGCACAGGACACTCTAGGCCCGGCAGTCTCGGGGGCAGTTCATACTCATGAGTAGAGGCCATAAAAGCAGTTGTAGGAGAGGTGGGCTCACCATTGTCAGGGGCATCATTTGTGGTGTTGTTTCTGTGCTTCTTCAGGGGAGAGAATGTCAGCTCCTGTGGGGAAAATCAACTGTAATTCTTGCAACCAAATGATTCCAATAAACAAGTATGCCCACCATATGGTGAGTAGCAATTAGTAATTTCCTAATCTTGTCAATAGCTAGTCCATATTCCAAAAAGTGTGATATGAAGGGCAAATTCTGGGGAATCTTTCTCCTTTCTTTCTATCTCCCCTCACCCCTGTTTAGATACATAGAGATAGATATATAAATATTTTTCTGAACACTTTGAGAATATGTTTCAGACAAGTGGGAATCTCTTAAAAGCCTCTCAGGTGGTTCTAATGTACAGCCTGGGTTGGGAGCCACTGATCCAATCAAATCTCCTCATTTCCCAGACACTGAGACTGAAGCTCAAAAGGGAAAGTAATTTTCTCCTTCTCATGAGTTGGTGGTAGAGCCAAGGTGAAAACCCAGGGCTCCTGACTCCAAGAGCAGTGTCCTTTCCGTCATGCCACTCTGCATCTTTATGGAGAAGTCTTTACTCAAATGTCACCTTCTCAAGATGTACCTTTACAACCTATTTAGGATTGCAACCTCCCTCCCCCATTCACCATCTCCCTTACCTTCCTCTACTGTTTTCTTTTCATAGCACTTATCCATTTATAACATATTATCTGATTCACTTATTTCTTGTGACCCTTGAGTTAATTGTCTCCCACCATCCAGCCCAGTTAAAATACAAGGCCCACTCCTTCCCTCTCATGCTAACTACTCCCCAAACACAAATACCTTCTCTTTTAGCTGTTTCTTCTGGTATTTACCTCCATATTTCTAAAGCACCTTCCTATACTGCTTTTTTTTTTTTTAATTTAGTTTTAGATGTTATCTATTGACTCTTTAAAGACTTAGGGACATGAACTTAGCTTTCTTACATAACTTATTCTACACATACCTCCAAGTTTAGTCCCTCCATCCTCCCAATTGATTGATACCAACCATTCTGGTTAAATCAATAGTCATTGTTCTATTACAATGAAGATGTAAATATTATAAATGGCTACTCCACATGAACTAGGATTACATTTGCTTTGTTCTACAACTTTTTGTTTTTCCTGGAGTTAATACTTGCTTCAATTTTTTCATTTGCTTCACTTTCTAGGTGCCTATCACTAAATCATCCTAAAGCTGTCTACCAGATCTGAAAATTCTCCCTTCATACAATCAAATCCATCAGGTATTCTATCCATTTCATTTCGGGGGCATATTGCTCCCCCGGGCCTGATGAGTAGCTATCATTCTGGGAATTTCTTCCACTCTCTCCAGTGTGGGAGTCCTGTTCCCTAAATCTCAGGTCAGGTCTTTCTCTTTTGTAGTTTACTTCTTGTTTGGTATCCTCAAATAGATTCTTGAGAAAGAAAGCATGGGAGGCAAATTTTTTAAACCTTGTATGTCTGAAAATAATAGCTTGGCTCGCTATCAAATCTATCCACCACTTTAATTTTTTTCTAAAACTTTATTACAAAATTTTTCAAATGAATGCAAAAGTAGAGCATTAATACAATGAACCCTATGTACTCATCATCCAGATGCAACAACAATCAAAATTAATCTATCCCTTGTTTTCTTTCTTTTTTTTTCTGAATTATTTTAAAGCATATCCAAAATATCCTATCATTTCACTTATTACTCTTCAATGTGCATCTTCATAACAGGGGGATTTTCTTGCTTGATCACAATGCTTTTATCACTCCCAATGAAATGAATGAGAATTATTTTCCATCATCTTTTTAGGTTTTCCATTTACCATACTGTTCATTGCTGCTTCTGCTGCTTTTTTCTCTCTTGCCTTCTATTGGATTGAGTGACTTTTCTTTATCCTCTTTCTTCTTGTCCACTGATTTGGCAATTTTACATCTATTTCTATTATTTTAGTACTTATCCTTAACATTTTAATATGCATACTTGACTGAATAAAGTCTAAAATTAATCGTTATCTCTACACCCGTTACAACAATATACATATTTGAGCACCCACTAGCTAACGCTGATCCTCTACTCCCATGTTATGTATAAATGCTGCCAGAATTTAGTTCCACCTTGTTTTCATGCTACCACTCTTTTGTCATTGTTATTATTGTTGTTTTATGCAATTCATGCCTGTTTGGATATACCCACATGTTTACCCTTTTATTTTCTTACATTCTTTGTTGGACTGTAAGCTTTCCATGTGGGCAAAATTCCTCTCTTCCTGAAATACGTCTCCCAGTGTTTCTTTTAGCAAGAGCCTGTGAGCAGTGAAGTGTGTACCTTTTTTACCCCCCTGCATTCTGAATGTAGTTTAGCTGGATGTCCAATTCTAGGTTAACAACTATTTTCTCTCAGCACACTGAAGATTATTATGCAGTCTCTTTGCATCTATTATTGCTATTGACGAGCCTGCTTTCAGTCTGATAGCCATCCCCTTGTAAATAATCTCTTTTTTTTTTTGGTTGATTTCAAGATCCTCGTTACCTTTGATCTTCTGTGGCTTCACTGCCATGTGTTAAGGAGTGAACTTATTTTTATTCATCCTGCTCAGAACAACGTACTCAAATGTGGCTTTTCATTTATTTCTCCTGCTCAGGATTTCTCCTTCCTGAATCTAAAGAGTTATGTCTTTAATCAGTTTTGAAAAATTCTCAGCTTTATCTCTTTGAATCCTGAGTCTCCCACCTTCTCCCAATTCGCTCTCTGGAACATACTGGATGGACATTAGGCCTTCTCATTCTAGCTTCATGTCTCTTAACCTTTTATATTTTCTATCTCTTTATTTCTCTTCCCTATATTCTTAGAAATTTCCTCAAATCTGTCTTCAAGTTCATTCATTCTTTCTTAGCTGAATCTAATCTGCTATTTTACCCAGTTCATTCAGATTTTAATTCAATGCCTGTATTTTTCATTTCTAGAAATTCTAGTTCTCTCTCTTTCAAATTTGCCTATTCTTTTTTCATAGGACCTTATTCTTTTCTCTTATTTTCCATTCATTCTTGTATGTCTTTAATCATCGTAAGCTAATTTATTTTATAGTCTCTATCCCATAGCTCTATTATCTGAACTTCTTGGAGGCTAATCCTGCTATTGGTTGTTTTTCTGACTCCCATTCTAGGTAGATTGCTTCCTTGTGTGTTTATAATTTTGGATTGTGAGTTTCTATTTCATAGGATTCTAACTGTGAGAATCCCGTATGACTTCAGTTGAGCTTATATCCCTCCAGAAGGATTTTGTAATTCTTCTGCCAGCCATTCCATTTTTTATGTTAATTTCTCAGCTTGGGGATTCCCAGACCATAAGCTAATGTAAATCTGAACTACGAACACAAGAATGACATGGGTCTGTGATTTTGAGTTTTTAAGGATATGAGTTTTTCTTCCCCACACTCAAATTCTAGGCCAAGATAGACAGATTTCCTTGCAAACTTCCTTTTCCAATTAGCTGATTCTTTTCTCTAAGTCACCACAGTTTAGCCTTTAGAAGGTCCAGCTTTATGCAGGGAAAGGGAGTCTTAGTTCCAATTCCCCACCTTGTGTGATTGGGACTTTTCTCTCATCCAAACCCTTAGGTGTAAGACTAACTGCACATCTCCTCCTGTAACCAAAGTGCCAGCTGATGTACCTCACTGGTCAGACTTTCTTTCCTGGAGCATGGGAGTTTTCTTTTCTTTCTTGAAAAATCAGCTATGCACTTAAATGAATGTTTGTCATATTTCATCTAGCATTTTTAAGTGTTTGTAGTGGAAGTTTTCAAGTTATCTTGTCTACTGTATTGTTAGACCATTAAGGCTGAAATCATTTTCAAATTTGATGTATTACTCACAACTGCAGGATGAATGTTGTCCAGTCTCAGAATTTGCAAAATTGTCTCCATTTGAAAAGCCAAGAAATGCTCCACTGTCCCTTCCAAGTCTGTTTGCTGTAGATCAAACTTCCACGGCACAGAAAGATGTCCGTCCAAAGACGAAAAGTATAAACAGATTTCCTCTTCTTTCTGAAAATTCAACAAAGAAAGCACCAACAGGCAAAAAGAAACCCCTGGATCTGCCTTTGACATCTGAGCTCAAGCCCAGGACCACCTCTCCTACAGGAGATGAGGCAACCTATGACATTCTGCGGAAGTGTTCTCGGTGTGATATTCTACTTCCCCTGCCGATCCTGAATCGACACCAGGTACCCAGCCTCTGTTCTTGCTTTACGTATCCGTGAACCATCTGGACAGTGTCTTAAAGAAAGCCAAGACCTGCAAAATGTTAGCAAATGTTGCAGCTGGAAAGGCTCTTCCACCTCCCGGTTCTCTGGGTACCCAGACGCGCTCTCTCATAGCACTTGTTGGTTGTAGTTGCTGTTAGCGGCCAGCCATCAAGTCATCTCTGACTCATGGCGGCCTCATGTACAACAGAATGAAATGTTACCCAGTCCTTCACCATCTTCTTCACAATCATTGGTATGCTCGAGCCCATTGTTGTGTCCACTATGTATTTTTAAAGTCTTCCAACATAGGGATTCATCTTCCAGCACTATATTGGACAATATTCTGTTGTGATCCATAAGGTTTTCATTGGCTAATTTTCAGAAATAGATTGCCAGGCCTTTCTTCCTACTCTGTCTTAATCTGGAAGCTCCACTGAAACTTGTCTACTAGGGATGAGCTTCCTGGTATTTGAAATACTGGTGGCATAGTTTCCGGCATCATAGCAACACGCAAGCCTCCACAATACAACAAACTGACAGACAGGTGGTGAGCATAGCACTTACCAACTAGTTTATTTGCTTTATGTCCCAGAGGCTGGGCCACCTTTGAAGACAGAGCCAGATCTTTCATCTCTGTGTCTCTAGCTCCTAGCCTAGGAACTGATACCCAGCAAGCACTCCAAAACTGTTGAGTAAATGAGCAAAGCAAAGGGTATGCAGTCTATCTCTCTTGTGTTATAGATAAAGCAACTGAGGCCCAGAGCAGAAGTGTCTTGGTCAAGATTCTAAGTCAGTGGGTAGCTTGCCTCCAGTAGATCAAGGTCTGTGGTCATTTCTCTCTATATCCTGATTTACATCAAGATTATTTTCTAGTGATCATAAGAATTAGCAATAGAGGTAGTTACCCATTGTGTGCAGTTACAATGCAAGGCTCTTTACAAATGGTTAACCTTCATTATAAACAATAGATATCTTATCCCTAATGTACAGATAAGGAAGCTGGACGGAAGGGTAGAGTAGCTTCCCCAGGGTCACACAATTAGAAAGTGGCAGAATCCATCCTGCATGTAGTTCCAAAGCTCATGCTCTCAACTAAACTCTAGGCTGGATGACTCACTTTTTTAAAAAAAGCAAAACACATTTTTATGATTTAATGTTTTTCAAAATACAAAAGCACTAGATTTTGTCCTAACCAATGACACAATACCATATAAAAAAGTATAAAAGCAATGCTAATCCTCTCCCATGGGGGCGTTTGTGGTTCGGTGGTAGAACTCTTGCCCTCCATGTGGGAGACCCGGGTTCGATTCCTAGCCAATGCACCTCAAGTGCTGCCACCACCCATCTGTCAGTGGAAGCTTGTGAGCTGCTATGATGCTGGACAGATTTCGTCAGAACTTTCACACTAAGACAGACTAAGAAGAAAAGCCTGGTGATCCACTTCTGAAAATCAGCCAGTGAAAACCCTATGGATCACACAGTACGATTCTGTTGTGTGTAGGGTCCTTCCAACTCACGTGCAGCTAACAACAACAATTATCTCCCACCCCACCTCCCCAATTCCACACCCTGAGACACCGATTTCAACAGCTTAGTGAGTGTCCTTACGCAACTTTATCTTTGCTCACAAAAACCTAAACATGCATGGACAAGAGTGTGAACTTTTCCCCACAAATAGTATCTTACTATACTCATTACTCTGCCACTTGCCTTTTTCATTAATATATGATATACACTCCTTGGAGCCCTGGTGGCATAGTGGTTAAGAGCTCCACTGCTAACCGAAAGGTCAGCAGTTCAAATCTACCAGCCGCTCTTTGGAAACCCTATAGGGCAGTTCTCCTCTGTGCTATAGGGTCACTATGCATTGGAACCGACTCAACGGCACCTAACAGCAACAACATACACTCCTTACGAAAAGGTAGCTCTAAATCTTCTTTCTAACTTTTTTATGCATCTGTATATGCACATATGCATATAATTTTACCCAAAAAACGGGATAATTTCACACTTGCCGGGGGTATTATTAGTGCAAGTTTGTCTTTGCCTCCCACAATTTGGTGTGTTTTCTTCCATACTTTTCTCCATCCTTATATAATAGGATTGCCAGAGTTAGCAACTGAAATACAAGACACCCAGTTAAATGTTAATTTCAGATAAACACATGTTTTTAGTATAACTATGTCCCGTGCAAATATCCTTCGTTTATCCGAAATTCAAATGTAACTGGGGGTCCTGTATTTTATCTGGCAACCCTATTTATAACCATATACAAACATATACATTTAGAGTCCTATTATACACACTTCTTTGATCTCAATGTTATGATTCAGCAATACCCAAAAAAAATTCCTCCGAGTCAAACCTTAACTGGTGCAAACGGTTAACATGCTCAGCTGCTAACTAGGTTCAAGTCCACCCAGAGGCACCTCGGAAGAAAGGCCTGGCTATCTACTTCCAAAAAATACGCCATTGAGAACCGTGTGGAGCACAGTTCTACTCTGACACACATGGGGTCACCACGTGTCGCATCAACTGGATGGTAACTGGTAACACTTCCTGCTTTAAACATAGGATTTTTTTTATATCCGTTTCCTTAGGAGAAATGCCGGTGGTTAGCCTCAAGGAAAGGAAAATACATGAGAAATTTCAGCTAGATTTGGAAAAGACAAAAAGGTACCAAGGATTTAAAAGATTTCATTTTTATACGGGTTTTCTGCTTCTTTTCTAGGATAGTCTTTATTTGTGAAAAATAGATGGGTTTTATTTCTTGTTGTTATTTCTTCTAAAAGAGAAGTTTTGGATTTTAACTATTCTCCTTCTTTTGAACAGATATTGCTTTGTCCAAGGGCTACAAGAAAGTCTCCAGTTCTTCCGCATGAGAATTCTGACTAAGCGCTAGGCCCTACAGCTGGAACACCTCGGGGAACCCAGCTTTGCCCCTGAAGAATAAAAACCATCCTCCCTGAATGCTTCTTGTTCACCTTTGTTGGATATCTGGGGCGAGGGCTGTCAGCAGCCAGGACAGCAGGGTACAGGAACAGGGGAGCAGCAGAAAAGAAGACATGGAGGGAGAGAAATGAGCCTGGGGCAGTGGGCAAGGGCAGGTAAGGTGCAACGTGGAGCCCCTGAAGGCTTTTGGCAGGGCAAGTAGCTGGGAGAAGCCCAGAGTTGGACCCTACCTACTCGCAAGCAGTACCCCCCACTTTTTGCCTGGGCTTTGGTGAGATGTGTTAGGGCACCTGTCCCTGCCAGGAGAGAGAAGGGCCGAGGAGGACGGCTAGGCTAGGTGCGCCCCACCCTCCCAAGACTGGAAAAGCGGGACGACTCTCAAGCTTTGCCCTATTCGGTTAAGTCAGATTTGCTTAAGGCTTGTCTTTGGGGCCCTTGTCTACGGAGGAAGGAGTGGAATCCCCGGCAGAGAGCGGGCTTCCAAAGGAGAGGCACACAGGCTGGGACACCCCGGGGGGACAGGGTGGGAGGCAGGAAAGGCGGTGGACTGAGCGGGCCTGAACCCTAGGTTCAGGACAGAACCTCTTCTTTGCACGAGCTGGAAAGGGCAAGGGGCATGCCCATCCTCACCCAGGGTTACCCCCGCGAGAGGGCCGAGCTCCCTCCTCCCAGCCGCCTTCCCCGGGCGCCTTCCTGGACAGGCTGAGCGTGGCCTGTCTTGCCATCCACACACAGGATCAGCTGATCGGGCAACTCTAGGTTTGGGCCCCAGCTACCGGCCGAGGTGAGCAGAGCCCCGCAGGTGGCAGCGCGTCACAAAGGCGGCCTGGTGCCAGGCATTTAACCTCCGCGAAGGCAAGGCGCAGACCCCAGGCGCTGGCGGAGTTGGCGCCCGAGCGGCAGCGGCACGGGCAGAGCAGGAAGGCGCTCGCCGTCCCTGCAGCCCAAGCCGGGCGCAGGCCGAGGGGCGTAGGCCGAGCGGGGCGCAGCGAGCGGGTAACAAGCAGGCTCGGGCAGCTGGGACACAGGCACGGGGCGGGCGCAGGCTGGAGGTGGCCACGGGACACCCCGAGGCCCGCGCGGGAAGGGGGCGCTGCCCTCCACGCGGGTCTTTGGCTGCGCCAGCTTCCACGCTACCTCCTCTTTTCCTGGGTGATGAGACGTCCCTGGGTTTCCTTCCCTTGTTGGCAGCTGTGTGATATGGTGGAGCGAGCCTAGGTTAGGGAGTCCTTAGTATCCCTAAACGTGGGTTCGAATCCCCCCACCCCGCGCCACGTTTACTATGAGATCTCATTGGAAAACAGCCTTCCAACACCTCTGTTTCCCCATTTGTAAAATGGGTATGTCTATACCTTCCTTACAGGAATGTTGCACAAGTCCCTTGACAGCAAGTACTTGTATAGTGTTTTCTATGAGCCAATAACGCTGGTGATGCAGTGGTTCAGAGCTATGGCTGCTAACCAAAAGGTCAGCAGTTCAAATCCACCAGCTGCTCCTTGGAAACCCTATGGGACAGTTCTACTCTGCCCTATAGGGCCACTATGAGTTGGCATCAACTTCACTGTTTATGTTTTGGTTTATAGGCCAGGCACTGTTTTGGTACTTTCCATATATCAGCTCATTTAATCCTCCCAACACTAGGAGGAAGGTACTTATTACCCCTATTTTACAGAAGGGGAGACTGAGGTACAAAGAAATTAAGTAACTGGGCTAAGGTCATACAACCAGCAGTTGACAAAGCCAGGACTCAACCCTCAAAACTACACTGCCTCTCACTGGAGAGGACATCTGGCGCATCCCAAGAACTACATATGACTTTAGGGCTACTTTCAACAACTTTCCCAGCCCACCAGAGGTGTCTTCCAACCCCACCCTATGGCTTAGTGTGATAATCCATCTGACCTGTGACTTTGCTAGGGCAAGGGCTTTGCTTTAGCTTTTGTGGTGGTCTAGCCTTTCCTGGGCTCCTTTTAAGTGCCCTGCTCTGTGCTAAGTGCTGTGTAGGACCCTTAGCCTCGGGGAATTTACATGTGATCGAAGAGACAACTATATTTATTCATTTAATAAATGTTGAAGTACCTACTCAAAAGAAGAATGAACTTTCCTTAGCCTCAAGGAGTTTGTGGGTCCATGGGAGAGAAAGGCATGGACATGCATTAGCCAAAGAGGTGGACCCTGGCTGGAGGAGAAAGAGAATGGGCAGGCTGAATCTGGAGGCAGGCAGATGGGAAGCTCACTGGAGCTCCATGTTGTGGGTGGGGACAGGGTGCTATGAAATTCTATATGAAAGTCTGGGTCTGGAGATGGGAGGGCCAGCAGGGGCCAGTTTGTTCAGGGCAATTAAGGAGAGTGATGGGGTAATGAGGACAAAGGCACTGGAGAAGATCCCAAAGAAAGCCCCACACAAGAGCACGTTTGAGGGTGCTCCTTGTCACATGGTGAGAGCGGGAGCTGAAGGAGGTCTGGGCGTCCATCCCAGGGAGAGTGGCGAGAGAAAGGTGGGGATACTCACATGGGTACTATTCAGCCCATAGAAGTAATGGGTGACATGTACACAGAGCAACATGAATGAATCTTACAAACACATTTGGCAAGCACATACAAACAAAAAGATGTACATCAAACATACTGGAATAGTTGCCTATGGTTGGGGGCAATGAAGTGGGGCAATGGATAAAAGGGAATAAATGAATAAATAAAACTAGAGAGCGGTTCCATCTTTAATTAAGAAGTATGAATAATTTGCCCCATCTGCACCTGAAACCCAAAAACTGGGGGTAAAAAAAAAAAAAGTACCAGCGAGAGAGTCAGCAAGCCCAGGTTCTAGCCTGGGTCCTGTTACTACCTTGCTGTGTGACCATGGACAAGTCCATCTGCCTGTCTGGGCCTCAGTTTCCATTTGTAAAGAAATGAATTCCGATCCTGAGTTTTTATGAACCATGATCAATAATCTTGGCCACTTGGTAAAGTAGCCAATAAAAGCTTCATGGAATGGTAGGGCTTGAACCTTGAAGAATGGGAACTTTTGGAGAGTCAAAGCAAAGGAGGGGAGTTTTCAGGTAGCGGAAACATTGAAAGCAAAAAGTCATGAGAATGTCAACAGATGCCTATGAAAAGTTGGACCAATAACTCTGTATCAGGCAGGCCTTAGTCCAGCTCTCCCCTGGAACTCCCTAACTTAACTGGTGGTATCCCCTGGATTCCAAGCTTGAGTCAGAACCCTTTCAGTTCTACTTTCAGCCAGTTACCAAATGGTGTCCTCTAAAGAACTCACAAACCCACCCTCCCTCCATTCCTTCTACAATGCCACCCAAATCCCAGCCCTTAGAACCTGGACTGCGCTCTGGGCCACTCACCCTCTACTCCTCCAGAATGTCCTCAAGGCTGACCACATCGCTTCCAGACATGTAACCCTCTGAACTTCCATGGCTCTCTGTGACCTCAGCTGCAGTTCTTCACCCTTGTTGTGCTGTCTTTTGAATATAAATACAACCTTCAGCAATGGATCTCAATATATACAGTGATCTTCATCCAGGCAAGGGGAGAGGCCATGTCAAAATTGCAAATTCTCAAGTGAGAGAACAGTTGGAATCACTGGCCTCTAGGATATAGTCATCAAATGATTCAGGGCCCTCTTAATCAGTACCTGCCCACTTCTCCAGCTCCAGTCCCATCAATCCCTCCACTTACAAGTTAAGCTCCAGATGAACAATTTTTAGTTCCCTGAATATGAACATGTAAGTTCACAGCTCTGTGACCTACCTGGAATGTTCAGTTCCTCCACCACCACCACTAGGCCAACCTGGTCTGCCTTGCAAATCCTACTCATCCATCAAAATCCAGCCCAGATGTCACCTCCTCTGAGCAGCTCTCTTTAGTTCCTCCTCAGATAGATAGACAGACAGACAGATGCCATTGAGTTGACTTTGACTCAAGGCGATCTTATGTACAACAGAACAAAACATTGCCCAGTCTAGCATCATTCTCACAGTTACTAGCATGTTCGAGTCATTCATTGTGGCCCCTGTGCCAATCCATCTCACCAAGGAACTCCCACACCCTCACTGGCCCTCTACTTCACCAAACATGATGTCCTCCTCTAGAAATTGATCCCTTCTGATGACATGTCCAAAGCAAGCAAGTCAGATAACGTTCTGTTATGATCCATAAGGTTTTCACTGGCTAATTTTCAAAAGTAGATCCCCAGGCCTTTCTTCCTAGTCTGTCTTAGTCTGGAAGCTCCACTGAAAACTGTCCACCATGAGTAACTCTACTGGTATTTGAAATACTGATGACATGGCTTCCAGCATCATAGCAACACACAAGCCACCACAGTATGAGAAACACAGGCAGGTGGTGGACTTCCTCCTTACCCAGACAGAATTAATCGCCCTCTACTAGTGCTACACCTGAACCATGAATATGCCTGTACTTTTTCACTTCTCTCACCATTTTGTAATTGAACACTGGTCCATTTTCCCTGATAGACTATGAAATCCTTCAAGGTGTGGACTGTATTGTGATTCTGTTATTGAACTTGCACCTGACACAGTGCCTACTACACAAAGGACCACCACGAACATTTGTTCAATTGAATTTAATTTCTGTTTGACAGGTAATGGCTCTTCCTTTTTACTCCCCACAGAAAACAAGTGATTGCTTTTCTTTCCTCATTTTTGGAAGCCCTGCCTCCCACACAGCTGCACTGCACATCCAGTTCCTTGATGGATGAAGAAAGTGAACTGATCCAGCCCCAAGACCAGAGCTGTTGGGCCACTATGCCCGATGTGTGCCTGCGTCGTGTCTTCTGGTGGCTGGGGGACAGGGACAGGTCCAGGGCAGCCCTGGTCTGCAGAAAGTGGAACCAGATGATGTATTCAGCAGACCTCTGGCGATATAGGACCATCACGTTCAGCGGGAGACCTTCCAGGGTGCACGCATCCGAATTTGAGTCCGCTCTTTGGTATGTTAAAAAATTTGGCCGTTATCTGGAGCACCTGGAGATCAAATTCCTGAATCCTTACAATACTGTCTT